CAATTTTGATCACGTGACCACAGGGATGCTGCAATGGTCATAAGTGTGAAAAACGATCATAAGTCACTTTTTTCAGCGCCGTTGTAACTTTCAACGGTCACTAAATGGACTGTTGTTAAGTTAAGGACTATTTGTAAAGTCTTAAAAATCCACCCTGTTTTCTTAAAACTATGACTGCTCATGTGCCCAGTTAATTTGCAATTCAGCATCCAAGGGCAATGATATTAGTAGAATTTTCTAATTATAACATTTTTCTAAGTTGTAAGGTTAAAATTAAATTAAATTTTGAAAAGTATACTCCTCACATTCTGTTCGTTTTCATGTTTATTCTCCACTGGGTGTTTTAACTTTTGTTTATTGTCTCTTGAAAATTTTTCAACTGGCACAAAAATATGTTTGCAGCATAGATAAGGAAGCCACCTTTAAAACCTCTGCACTTATTATGGCAGTGGCATAAAAACTGACAGGCAAATTAGAATAAGATCTTAAACCTCTTTAATAAAACAATTAAAGTAGTGAAATGTGCCTTACCCTTTTAGTAATTTCATTGACAAAGACATTAAGGGCTCTAGGTGACATCTTGAAATCTATTGGAGTTCGAACAAGATATAGATATTAAAATTGTCTGATCTTCTCAGCAGTATCGCTGTAAAAGTCATATCTTTTTACGTAAGATGCAAAGGGCTTGCTAAAAAAATTAGCCAGATTGAAATGACGCATTATGAAGTTACAGTGTTGTAATCAAAATTGGCAACTTCATGTCCATTCCCCAATTCTAACTATCTAATGTACACAAAACTGAAATATTCTGTGTGAAAGAAACTTTATACAGATATTCGCCACTATTGCCAACTTTATACTTTTAATGTTTTATTTCTGTTGTGCCATGTTAATTTTCCTTTATACTTTTGCTGCTTTTATATACTCTTTCAGTAAGAGTTTTGACATTGTTTGTACCCACCCACCCTTGTCATTCTCTGCCATTCCTTTCTCTTTTCCAGATCTGCTAACATCCATAGCCTATTGCAATATATGATATAAACTTGTTAATAGACCCTGGGTAAATACGAAGGCACCAGGCCCTGTGCATCCTTACTAATGGAGTCCCTGGCTACGGTACCAAGGCTGATGTGTATTGGTGGATTGTACTGGCACAGAGGCTGCTTTTTTAGCACTAGATAATAGACTGAAAGGTTAAGAGCAAAGGATCGCAATGGAGCTTTTCTAGGGCTAATTACCTCTTCACTGCTCTGACTCTAATGTGACATGTTTATTGCCTTAACTAACAACTCATTAGCTTAGTTGATGTTTTTGTCAATATTAATTCGTTCATTTAAGCCAAGTCAAAGCTTAAACAAAGATGTCCAGGCTGAGAAGTGGGCAGCAGAGTGACTTTTGTTTAGTTCACCTTTTCTTTCCCCCCCCCCAAGCTCAGTTTAAACAAGATAAATGTTGACAAGGAGAAATATTTAGTGCGCCCTGGTATGTAGTTGGTGTTCATTCATACGTTTTAAAACCAGGCTGCTTTACTTAAATAGCAGTAGTTTGCAAGAGGAGTATTTCATAAATTAAAACACCTGCTTAAGGATGGAATTCAAAGACCCAGTTTCTTGTTCTTTGAAAAACAGCCAAGTTTCCCATAGGTTAAATTTGGGCAGATTTTCGGATTGGCCAGCTCCCTCTCAGTTACTAAATATGGCAGGCAGTTTGTTCAGTAAACAAAAAATAAAAAGCTGAGCTTTGAGAACTGCCTATAAGAGAAGGGGGGGGGGGAACCATAAAAATCAATACTTTGTCTCAACCACAGCAATAAGTAGCTAAATGAATGATATTTTAAAAAGCATACTGTATAATAGAATCACAGTAATGATCAATTACATTTATCTAGGAAAGTTACTTGTTTTGCCCAACATTCACATTTTACTAATGGATGATTGCTGCAGTTCATTATTTCAATGGGCTTCATTTGAAAATGAAAGTAATCCATTACAAGATTCATTATCACAATTTGAGTATCCATAATTTGGGAGTGGAAATGAATACGACAGAAGCCTTGTGTTATGTAGAGGTTGCCCCTCTGTTTAAAAGAGGAGAGGAAAAAGGAAGAGACGTGAAAGAGTAGAGCAAATTAATTTTGCATTTAACAAGTGAGAGCTGATGAAGTAATGCAGTAAGGATTGGAAGATTCCCAGGCACTCCTCCTAACTGAGTGTAGCTTTTAATGCTGGTGGAGTAAATGAAAATGTGGGCTTTGTTTTGTTAATTGTTGAAAACCAAACATAAGAAAAGTGCTTTTACACATCCCATTTCTTCATACAGATATAGAGCAAAAACAATTGGCATCCACAAAACCTCAGTGGAAATAATTTAAGTTTGGATGACCATGAAGTCTGTTAGAGAATGGAAGCACAATGTAGATGTCTCCAGGAAAACTGGACAAGGCAGAAACAGTTAGAAATTAAAGGTCACCTTTGAGCTTCTTAGAGAGCCCCATTTGTATAACCTAGGATAGGTATACTAAGACAGGAAGGTAGACAATAAAGTATTGATTTAAATCATAACTAAATGCTTACAAATCACCTCCAGTTATAGCTACTAGCACAAGCTGCAAAGGCTGATCTAAATAGAAAATCCTCATGATGCTCTATAAGACCTAACAATTCTAAAGTTTTTGGTAAATATCATGTATCCCCTAACATTCTGCAAATTTCTACTTGCTCTTTCCTGCTTATCAGCATTCTGAGTTCAGTTGGAAAAGAACAAACCAATCAACACACTGCCATTTATGAGTCTCGTCTTCAGTACTTTCTATGATGCAACCATCACTAGTAAAATATTTTTGTTCTAAGGGAATGTAATCAATTCCAACTTTACTCAGCATCCTTACAATCTTACCGTTGGCTCTCAGACAGCAATTCTTAGATGCAGAAAATAAGTTATTAATTCTTTAAATCGTTGTATTTTTTTCTCGTAGATGATATTAATTCTTTAAATCGTTGTATTTTTTTTCTCGTAGATGAGAGCAGTGGTGATGATGGTGATTATGAAGATTTTATCTACTTATCTATTATTATGCACCTAGTCTTGGATAGGCCAGTAAAATGATTTGGGCTGGGCCTCTCCTATACTCAGTATGATATGATATTGTCTTAAGAGCAAATTTTGTTACTGCGACATGGTTGTTATTATTTAGTTTTCTTTTGTATAATGGTCCCTAAGAACATTATGAAGACAGGAATCAGGATTTAAGCACTTGTCTCTTTCATTTTATCATTATGGTAGTCCAAATTCACCTCATCCAATTTTGTTGCTTTTAAAATAGCTGCAATCTTATCTAAATCCATAAATAAGTGTGGCCACTGCATCCAATATTGTTATGAAAGCCTTATTTAGAAAGAATGTGGTTTAAGAATGCAAGAAATATTTGCAGATATGATAAAGATCCACCCAAATCCTTGTGATAGGTGCGTCAGTTTCATCATGTTGGATCATCTCATCATTTATTCAATTTTCCCAATCTTTATTTCAAGCTTCTCTGGGGAGGGGGACAATCCATTGTCTTTCTCATGGTTGGGGAGAGAAACATTTGAAAAAACAAATTGTAAGAAGTTGGATCCCAGTAATTTTTGATAGTTACTATTCACAAATAAGGAAGGGAGAGTAAAATATGGAAAAATTATTGTAGATAGGACCAAATCTCATTTGGTTCATTATTTGTTTATTACATAGACTTTGATGCCACTCCCAATTGCTGACATTGAACAATTTATAAAACCTTGATTTTAATTAAGATTAGGGAAGGATGGTATAATCCAGCGGTATCAAACTGCCGGCCCGCAGACTGGATGTGTCATGCTGAAACCGCGCCCATCCCATTGCCGACAATGGAGAAAAAGTCATGATACGACACGTCACATGACATTGCGAATTTGACACCCCTGGTATAATTTAAACAAAGAAAAACTACTAATGGTGCCAACCATTTGTTTCCTTGCAGGGCATTATTTGGAACAATGGTTCCATTCCATTGTTCCATTCCCTCTACATACTCTCCTAAAAAGCTAGGTCTCCACAATCTTCCAGAATACTCATAGGTATAAGGCTATCCTTGTCTCTGGGATTAAAACTGTTTCCAAAGAGAAAGGTGCTCCTGCAGTCGAAATTTGAAATTGGACTTCGGTCGTGGCTCAACTTGTACTATTGGTAGACATTCATGTTGGAGAAAATTTTGGCAGAGGATTTTAATTACCTTTTATTTGTTTTCTATGGGTGGGAAGCAGTAGAAGGGGGAGGGAACAATCCTTTCAATTGCAGTGACTCATGAGGTTAGAAAGCTGGACTGATAATCGGCAGGCAAGAGCAATTGCAGGCCACCAAAGAAGCATTTGAACTTTTTTTAATTCTGCACATTCTAAGGGTGCTGGGTTGGAGAAAGGTAGAACTGAATTTTATACAGGCATTAATATGCTGTGAGTTAGAATCTCTTATCTCTCACAATTATGTTTGGAAGAGTTAGCGGTAAAAGGAAACCAGGCCACCAAAGAACATGACGGATGGACACCATCAAAGCTAAAGAACTTGCCAGAGGATAGATAGGATAGAAAAATTTAATGCAGCAGTGCAAAATTGGAAAATGTGGAGAGACCTGGCCCATAAAATCACCAAGAGTAGGACATGACTGAATGGATAACACCATCATCATCATCTCCCACAATGCAAATAATTGTACATATAGCTTGTCGCAACATATGGCTCATGGAGTATAATAAGGACTTGTTTTCCATTATTTTTATACATACACACACAGAGAGAGACATATATATATACAGTACATAATACATACATATAAACATTCTTACTTGAGCTACATTTTTACTCTTGGCCCCAGTTAGCAAACTGGATGGAGGAACTCTACTAGGTAACCCCATAAGCTTCCAGTCTACCCAAATCATAATACGCCACATTAGATCTTGTTTTCTTAACTCTGGTTTTCTCACATGTCTTGTATGGCAGGCAAAGCTTTGACCTATCTTCTGCTGCAGCCTCCCAGTCCCAAACTTCCTCCTCACAGTACCATTCGGAGAACTGCCATTGATCTCATAGGAAGAGGGTTTACAGTGTGGGAGCCTTATATGGACGTGTCTGCTGTGCTGATGGGCCTTTTGGAACTCTGTGCGGATGCCGAAAAACAACTTTCAAAGTAAGTATTTATCCCTTATTTCAGTGGTGGCGAACCTATGGCACGGGTGCCAGAGGCGGCACTCAGAGCCCTCTCTGTGGGCATGCGCACCATCGCCCCAATCTTAGGCCTTCAGCTGGGTTTTATAAAATCTTTTCACTTTAGGCCTCCGCCGCCGTATACAAAAAAAAATGTTCAATCAATCTGTCAATTTCAACTTCTCACAGGAAAAAAAAAGATCTTGCAAAGTTGGAATTGATTGATTGAACTTTTTAGTCCCACTCAGTCTGCTGTTATCACCGCAGGCACGCCTACCCAATGGGCCACACCCACCCGGCACCCGACGATGCATAAGTGGGTTTTGGGTTGCAGTTTGGGCACTCGGTCTCTAAAAGGTTCGCCATCACTGCCTTATTTGATTAAGGAGAAATGTTTTATCTCTGATGGCCTTTTTGATAGAGACATTTGCATTAGATTTGCAATGGCCCAGTTTTTGATTGGCTGTTATTTCCATGAGCACATTTCACCAGTGCTTCAAGACCCTCCACGGACTTCTCATTTGCTTCTCGGTACAGTTCAAAGTGTTCATTTCAACCTACAAAGACATACACGGCTTGGTGGTGCCAAGCTATTTTTTGAACTACCTCTGCAGCCAGAATTGACTCAATTCACTTGTCCTGTGAGAAACTCCTTATAAAGTCCCCATATTGCAGGGTGAAAGAGTTGAAGCACCCCACTATTATTTTACTCTACTCAGTTAAATTAAATAGATGGCCACATGTTGACATAGGCTTCCCTGGCTGAGAATCAGAGATGACCCTCGCCCCCTTGAGTCGGTCATGACTGGACAGGGGAAACCTTTAAACCTTTATCTGTGCTATGGAACACCCTTCCAGTTCATATCTGTTTAGTCCCCACATTGTTGGCATTCTGGAAAGATCAAGCTTGTTCTGGAGAGCCTTTGGTAGTTGAGAATAGGCTGATCTATGGTAGCTAGTTTTTATGTTCCATATTTGCATTTTATAGTTGTGAGTTTACAAATATATCTTTATATTCTACCATAGATTTTATTGTGTTATTGCTTTTTATTGTAATCCATGAGGATTGTAATACAGGAGGAGAGGGGGAGAAGGAGGACTGAAAACACTCCTTATGGGTTGAATCATTTGTACCTGTCAGAAAACAGGATAAATGGGTTGAGTCTACCCTGATATAAATAATATCCAAAGGTAAAAAAATACAAATCCACTGTATGCCAGCCACATCTAGAAACCTGATCTCTAGATCATAGTCACTAAACCCTGATATCTAGCACATTTAACATACAAATCCGTTGCTGGTTGAACAAATTGTGACTTCAGTAAAGCACAAGCATATATAACTTTTTAGGGTGTAATTGTAGGCAAGCCACGTCTACTTTAAAATCACAATCAAAAGGAAAACAATCTTGGTTTACTCATTTGAAATACTCTTTTCCAATTGCATTCCAGCATTATTCCTCTTATTCATTCCTTTCTTTTCACAGAAAATTCAGTCATGCTATCCTGATTTCCAGGAAATAGTTCAATCGCAGTTTTATGGTTTAGACTTCAAAAGGAAGCCAGGATAGCTTTTCTACTATAGGGAGTATGAAATTAGGAAGAAAAGGCAGAAACAAAGAGAGAGCATGTGAATGTATTAATCTTAAACAAATAAATCATGGTTTATCCATTTAATTGTACATGTGGATTGAGACACGTAGGGAATAAACTTTTCATATCCTCCAGCATATTGCCTGACTCTTTTCTGTTTTGCTTAAAATAAAATTTGCTTCATTGGTTTTTGATGGCATGTCATTGTTATTTTGTTAAAACTTAGCAGTGGAAAAAATTCTCTCCCTCTCTTTGTTGCTTTATATTTATATTTGTTTCATGGTCTGCGATTGCATCTCACACTGTTAAAGAATGCTGCTCCACCTCATCCCGGTAGGCAGACTCATCCCCCTTGGAGATAAGCCCCACCACGGTTGTATCACCCGCAAATTTAACAATATTGCTGGGATGAGTGGGGGTGCAGTCATAAGTGTAGAGTGTGTAAAGTAGGGGGCTCAACACACAGCCCTGTGGGGAGCCCATATTAAGAATAAGGGCTGAAGAGATATAGTTGCCTAATCTAACCCTCTGAGAGCGACCAGACAGGAAGTTCATAATCCAAAGGCAGATTGAATATGAAAAGTCCAAGATTGACAGGTTTAAGCACCAGTGTGTATGGAAGAATTGTGTTAAATGCAGAGCTAAAATCCACAAAGAGCATCCTTACATAGATCCCCCGCTGCTCCAGATGAGTCAGAGTAGTTTGGAGAATGATAGCTATGGCTTCCTCTGTAGATCTTTTTGCTCTGTATGCAAACTGGTGACTGTCGAGTGTGTATGGGAGGCAGGACACAATGTGCCTGCAGACCAGTTTTTCAAAATACTTCATGATAATAGGGGTGAGTGCCACTGGTCTATAATCACTGGGACTGTTAGTAAAAGACTTCTTTGGTAATGGAACAATGATGGAGGCCTTCAGACAGGATGGAATAGTGGACTGGGATAGAGACTGATTAAAAATCTTGGTAAAAACCCCAACCAACTGGTCTGCGCAGTCTTTAAGCACCCGGCCAGAACAGACCTTCAGGCAAGGAGGAGAGTGGCGCAGACAGGCGGGGGTAGCCAAAGGACCAGGCAAGGCAAGCCTCCCCTGCCATCTCCCTCCGCCTTCCAGACACCCAGCTTCAGTGTCACTTCGCACACTCCTGGCTCCGAAACGGGGAACAGGCAGCACGAGGGAGGAGGAGGAGGAGCAGGTGGCGGCAGTTGCCACTGGCTGTTGCACAGGAGTGGCGGAGGCCTTTTGCTGTCACTCCCCCCCTGACTCCAAAACAGCGAAGAGGGACCGGGTAAGGGGACCGAGCCTCCCCTGCCCATCCTCCATAACATGGCAGCCCGGCTTGGGAGGGGAGTGAAAGGGAAGAGGCGGGCAGCCAGCCAGGTGTGGGGCACATGGGGCAGCTCTACCCCCCCATCTGCCTCACCTCGTGGCAGCGGCACTGGTGCGTCACACCATTTAAGCCCTGAGCAACCAGACAATGGGATGGAGTGGGCGGCGGTTGCAAAATAAGACATCCCCTGAAAATAAGCCCTAATAGGTGTTTTGGTTGGAAAAAAATAAGACCGGGTCTAATAATAATAATAATAATAATAATAATAATAATAATAATAGTAGTAGTAGTAGTAGTAGTAGTAGTAGTAGTAGTAGTAGTAGTAGTAGTAGTAGTAGTAGTAAAGTTGGAAGGGACCTTGGAGGTCACCTAGTCCAACTCCCTGCTCAGGCAGGAAACCCTATACCATTTCGGACAAATGGCTGTCCAGTCTCTTCTTAAAAACTTCCAGTGTTGGAGCATTCACTGCTTCTGGAGGCAGGTTGTTCCACTGGTTAATTGTTCTAACTGTCAGGAAGTTCCTCCTTAGTTCTAGGTTGCTTCTCTCCTTGATCAGTTTCCACCCGTTGCTTCTTTTCCTGCCTTCAGGCGCTTTGGAAAATAGCTTGACTCCCTCTTCTTTGTGGCAGCCCCTGAGATATTGGAACGCTGCTATCATATCCCTCCTTGTCCTTCTCTTCGTTAAACTAGACATACCCAATTCCAGCAACCGTTCCTTATATGTTTTAGCCTCTAGTCCCGTAATCATCTTTGTTGCTCTTCTCTGTACTCTTTCTAGAGTCTCAACATCTTTTTTACATCGTGGTGACCAAAACTGGATGCAGTATTCCAAGTGTGGCCTTACCAAGGCATTGTAAAGTGGTATACTTCACGTGATCTTGATTCTATCCCTCTCTTAATGCAGCCTAGCACTGTGTTGGCTTTTTTGGCAGCTGCAGCACACTGCTGGCTCATATTTAGGTGATTGTCCACTAGGACTCCGAGGTCCCTCTCACAGTTACTACTATTGAGCAAGGTACCCCCTATACTATACCTGTGCATTTGGTTTTTCTTGCCTAAATGTAGAACCTTACTTTTTTCACCATTGAATTTTATTTTGTTAGATAGTGCCCAGTGTTCAAGTCTGTCCAGATCCTTCTGTATCTTAAGCCTGTCTTCTGGAGTGTTGGCTATTCCTGCCAGCTTGATGTCATCTGCAAATTTGATGAGTTCCCCATCTATCCCCTCATCCAAATAGTTGATGAAGATGTTGAAGAGCACTGGGCCCAGAACAGAGCCCTGGGGCACCCCACTATACTCTTCCCTCCATGTAGATGCGGTTCCATTGAGGACCACTCGCTGAGTACGGCCGGTCAGCCAGCTATGGATCCATCTGGTGGTGATGCTGTCTACCCCACATTTTTCTATCTTGTCAAGTAGTAGGTTGTGATCTACTTTATCAAATGCCTTACTGAAGTCCAAGTAAATTATGTCCACAGCATTCCTCTGATCCACTAATTTTGTCACTTGGTCAAAGAATGCAATAAGATTTGTCTGGCATGATCTA